TGGAGCTAGGGCAGGGACACGGCATGGGGGCTTGGAGCTGGGAGAGAGATGGGGAGTTGCAAAGATACGCCAGAGGCTGGATGGGGAGGGAGTGGGAGTCAACGCTGAGAAGCCCCAGGGCTGGGTGTAGTTATGGAGCCCAGGGTCACAGGCAGGAAGGGTTTGGGGCAAGTGAAGGGGGACAAGATCCAGCGGAGCCACGGGGCAAGACCCTGCAGCATCTGAGGGCCAGGGCTTGTGGTGGAGGCAATGAGATGATGAGCTGGGAGCCAAAGGGGACTCTGGAACAGGCTCAGGCTCAGGACAGGGCTGGAAGCGTGGCCATCTCCCTGGCAGCACCGACAAGCCCTGCTCACCCATAGGTGATACAAGTCTCCAAGGAGACAACAGGCTGGGAATTATGTGACAGTTGAAACCAGAAAATAACTAGATGAAGAAATCTGATTATGGAGGAAGAAGTTGGGCAGAGACCGGTCACAGGTGAGGGAGCAGCACCCAGCTCTGCCTTGTCAGCAGAGCATTGCAGGGACTAACTCTGCAGGGGACAGCAATGGTCTTCTGCCCACGCAGGTCTCCAAGCTGGCCTGGAGTGGCAGTAGACATGCTCTGCAAGGCAGCTCTGCAGGCACTAAGCCTCCACTTGCTCCCTTTTCTGGAGGTATTTCTTTTCCAGCAACCCAAAGAAACCCCAGCCCAGGGAGCACGGTCCAAAGTATCTACGGAACACCTGGTATGGGGCACAGTTGTCCCTTCCCGCCCTGACATGTCCTTGATCCTTATTCTGCCTCCCCAGTTCTTTCAACAAGGCATTTGCAAGATCTCAAATCTAGGTCAAGAGCTGAGCATTAGAAAGCCAGAGTCTCCAGTTCATTTAGAAGTCTCTCTGCTGTTTCCTACTCCTTCACCAACACAGGAGGTCAGCCTGGCTGGGTAGATGGATATTTTCAACACACAAAGAAAATTTTCTCTTAGTGCTTCCTGAAGCAGACTGGTTTCTCTGGCATTCCTGTTGGCAGACATGGAGTACAAAACCAAAAGAGAATCATAGAATCATAGAATCATTGAATCACACAAAGAAAATTTTCTCTCAGTGCTTCCTGAAGCGGACTAGTTTCTCTGGCATTCCTGTTGGTAGACATGGAGCACAAAACCAGAAGAGAAGGGGAAGCAAAACTGTCCATGTGGTTTCCAACAACTGTGCATTGCAGTGGTACGGAGCCAGGAGCAGCTTCTACAGAGAATCATAGAATCACAGAATCATTGAGGTTGGAAGAGACCCTTGGGATCATCGAGTCCAACCATCTCCCCTACTCTACAAAGTCCTCCCCTACACCATGTCCCTCAGCACTGTATCTAAACGGCCCTTAAACACATCCAGGGATGGTGACTCCACCACCTCCCTGGGCAGCCTGTTCCAATGCCCGACCACTCTTAGCAAAACTATCCATGTGGTTTCCAACAACTGTGCATTGCAGCGGTACGGAGCCAGGAGCAGCTTCTACAGAGAAGATGCTTTGAATGTGATGCCTCGACATGTCAGCAGTGTCAGCAGCCTCTCCCAGAGTCTCCAGTGAGCCCATGGTAAGCCGGGTACTTGGTGGTGCTCAGCAACACAACACAGCTCCGTGGGACAAGCCGGTGGTGGCAGAAAGCAGCTTTCCTTGAGCATTACCCAGCCCCACCTCGTGGCAAGGATCAGCAAAACTTCCAAGGGCAAGATTTGCCACCACCATGTCTGCTGGCTGTGTGGGCATCAAGCGTGATTTCCCGGTCATGTCTTCTCCTGCCTTATGTCTGGAGCCCTCAATATAAGAAGGACATGGACCTGATGGAGAGGGTCCAGAGGAGGGCCACGAGGATGATCAGGGGGATGGAGCACCTCTGCTACGAGGACAGGCTGAGGGAGCTGGGGTTGTTCAGCCTGGAGAAGAGGAGGCTCTGGGGAGACCTAATAGCAGCCTTCCAGTACCTGAAGGGGCCTACAGGAAGGCTGGGGAGAGCCTGTTTAGAAAGGCCTGCAGTGACAGGACGAGGGGCAATGGCTTCAAGCTGGAGGGGAACAGATTTAGACTGGAGATGAGGAGAGGGTTCTTCACTGTGAGGGTGGTGGAGCACTGGAACAGGTTGCCCAGGGAGGTGGTTGAGGCCCCATCCCTGGAGATATTCAAGGTGAGGCTCGACGAGGCCCTGGGCAACCTGGTCTAGTTGGGGGTGTCCCTGCTGACTGCGGGGAGGTCGGACTAGATGGCCTTTGGAGGTCCCTTCCGGCCTTTGCAATTCTATGATTCTATGTGCCTGGTTAAGGCACCCCCTGTCCTCCAGCATCCCCCATCCCAGCTAAGGGCAGGAGTGGCGGGGTTGGCTCGAGGTGCAGCTCTGGTATGGGCACATGTCCTCGGCTGCTGTCACCTGAGTCCTGAGCCTGCTGTGAGGTTTGTGTGAACAGGCTGGGCCTGTCTTGACTGCAGAAGCACATGTTGCTGAGTTATCACCCATATCCTTTCTTTGCCACCTCATTGTGGTCTCCATTCCAGGTCCATCTTTCATTTCTGGGGGCCATCAAGGTAGCACACCACCTTCCCTGCTGAAGGAGGCCAGGGAGCTCTGCCACAAGCAAAGAAGAAGTGAGGTGAGAAGCACCACACTGATGCTCTTCTCTCTGCAGAGAGCAACAGGGTCCTCTCTCCATGGTGGCTGATCAACCTCAGGCTGGGAGCAGCTGGTGTCACACAAAGAGTGACAAATACATATGGGGGTTTGGGGACCTTCACCATCCTCTTCTTTGAGGACAGCAAGAACCCAGACAGGGATGGGATCACTCAAAGGTGCCAGTATAGAAGGTGTCATGCTGTCCCCAGCTAGCAATAGCTAGCAAACACAACCCAAATCAAATGCCCAAAGCATGGAGTAGGAAGTGTTTTAGAAACTTCCTGGCTTGTATCAGGACCAGCGTGGCCAGCAGGAGTAGGGCAGTGATGGCCCCTGTCCTGGGCACTGGTGAGGACTCACCTCGAGGGCTCGTTTCAGTTCTGGGCCCCTCACCACAGGAAGGACATTGAGGTGCTGGAGCATGTCCAGAGGAGAGCCACCAAGCTGGGGAGGGGTCTGGAGAACAAGTCACACAAAGGGAAGCACATTGAGGTGCCGGAGCGTGTCCAGAGGAGAGCCACCAAGCTGGGGAGGGGTCTGGAGAACAAGTCACACAAAGAGAGGCTGAGGGAACTGGGCATGTTGAGTTTGGAGAAGAGGAGGCTGAGGGGAGACCTCATTGCCCTCTACAGCTCCCTGAAAGGAGGGTGTAGAGAGGTGGGGGTTGGACTCTTCTTCCAAGGGAATAATGACAGGACCAGAGGAAACGGTCTGAAGCTGGGGCAGGGGAGGTTTAGATGAGATCTTGGGAAGAATGACTTTCCTGAGAGGGTGGTCAGGCACTGGAACGGCCTGCCCAGGGAGGTGGTGGAGTCACCATCCCTGGAGGGATTTAAGAAATGTGTCAATATGGCTCTTCAGGGAATGCTCTAGTGCCTGAGATTGCTGGGTGTGGTGATGCAGTGATGAGGTGTTGGTTTTTTTGTTTTGGTGTTATGTGGGGTTTTTTTGGTTGGGTTTTTTTTTTTTTTTTTTTTTTGGGTTGGACTTGATGATCTCAAAGGTCCCTTCCAACCATGAAGATTCTGTGATTCTGTGAAACTTCAGAGCTCCAGATCACTGGCTCCCACGCAGCTGGAGAAGGAGGTAGATCTTGATTTCCACTTCTTTGGCTTTGCAAATCTGGAATGGTGTAGAGAGCCAGACATGGGGGCCTTCGCTGTAATAGACCTCCTTGGTCTGGAATGGGGAGCAGTGGTCTTGCCTACCCCTTGTGAGCCAGGGGACAGGAATCAGGGCTGCCTCTGGTGTCCCTCACCAGCAGTAAGGAGGCAGGGGCAGCACCCGAGTTGCATCCTTCACATCTGATTACATGGTGGCTGATGGGAAGTGACACGATGGACATGGACACAACATGACTGGTGTCTCATTGCATCCTATCACAGCTGAAGAACCAGGAATAAGCAGTTAATTTGCAGCCAGACGTGGCTTGCTTCCCCAGAGCATAAGCCCTGGACATCCCACTCCTCCTGACTCCTGGACCCAATGGACAGGGGCAGTGGGAGAGGCTTCAGCATGAGACCTCCTGTCCATTTCGGCCGAGGGGTCAACACCTGAGGAGCCACCAAGGACATCAGGAAGAGTGTGAGCAGCAGGTGGAGGGAGGTCATCCTGCCCCTCTGCTCTGCCCTGGGGAGGCCCCAGCTGGAGCACTGGGTCCAGTTCGGGGCTCCCCAGTTCCAGAAGGACAGGGAACTGCTGGAGAGGGTCCAGCAGAGGGTACAAAGATGATTAGGGCCTGGAGCATCTCTCTTATGAGGAGAGGCTGAGGGACTTGGGTCTTTTAGTCAGAGAAGAGAAGGCTGAGGGGGGATCTGATCAATGCTGATAAATATTTAAAGGGAGGGTGTCAGGAGGACGGCGTCGGTCTTTTTTCAGTGGTGCCCAGGGACAGGACAAGAGGAAATGGGCACAAACTGGAACATAAGAAGTTCCACCTCAACATGAGGAGGAACTTCTTTGCTGCTGGGTGGCAGAGCACTGGAAGAGGCTGCCCAGGGAGGTGGTGGAGTCTCCTTCTCTGGAGACATTCAAACCCCACCTGGACACGTTCCTGTGGGACCTGCTCTGGGTGGCCCTGCTCTGGCAGGGGGTTGGACTGGGTGATCTCCAGAGGTCCCTTCCCACCCCATAGCACTCTGTGATCTCTGCAGTACTGCCATTGTCCCACCACCGCTTCTCCTCCCAGCGCCTTGGAACAGCATTTCGCAGGGCAGTGCCCCTCCAGGCGGGATGCCAGGCCCGTTTGCAGCCCCCGGCCCCACACAGACCAGGCCCTCCTCGCCCCCCCCTCCCTGTGACCCCCCGGCAGCTCGGCCCCTGGGGGGGCGTGGCCGAGGGCGTGACGTCATCTTTCCGCGCCCGCTCCCTTCCGTCGCGCTGGGGTCGGCTCCGTCTCCTGGGCTCCGCCATGTCCTTGTGGCTGGCCAAGTTCGGCCCGGCCGCGGCCGCCGCCGCTCGGGGCCGCCTGGGGAGCGCCGTCCTGCCGGCGGTGAGCGGGGCTGGGGAAGGGGGAAATCTCTGCGCCCAGCCGCCCCTTCCCCTGGCGGTGGCGGCCGGCTCTCGGCGCGGCCGGGCGGGCTCACCTTGGGGTGCCCGGGCGACTGCGGCCTCCCCCCGCCCGGTAGAAGCGGGGCTGGGCTTTCAAAAGCTCGCTCCCGACAGCCTTCCTGTGCTCGGGGGGTTGTCTCCGGGGGGCCGTGGGGAGGGCTGTGCGGCGGGGAGAGGCTGGGCTGCTCCCTGGAGGGGGGCGAACGCAGGGGCTTTGCGGGGGAGGCGGCTTTGAAGGTAGAGGGACAGGGAGATCCCCGAGGCCAGAGCGTGGGGACCCGGTGACCAGCTCGTTGTTGGGATCTTTGGCATGTGTATCCTCCTGCACGTGCAGAAGGTCTGAAAAACCTGTACTTTAAGCATGCCTAGTTCAGCTAAGAAAACTAAAATATGCTAATTTTGCTGTGTTTTCTTTCAGGCAAGAATTCATATCAGCCCTGAGCAGAATTTGCAGTATGGCTGGCTGGCTTATATGTTGGGAGACAAAGCTACAAAAAAGTTCACTGAATACAGCAAAATCTTTACTATAGAGGGAAACTTATCTTCTGGGAAGGGGAAGCTTGCAAAACAATTAGCAGAAAAACTAGGTACGTCTTTATTTTATTTATTTCTCTAACAGTTAATAGGATTTAATGGTGTAAGTGTGGTTTTTTGTGTAAAGAGAATTCTCCAAACCAGCAATTCTTGACTAGAAATTATCAGTTAGGCAACGCCGCCGTTATGTGGATGGCTTATAGATAAGGGGGGAATAAAATGTTGGTGAAGTTTGAAATGAGGATGGGACTCTGGTCAGATGGGCAGGATACTTGTGTAGGTATGATTTGTTGTGAAGGAAATTTCAGTTCTAATGAAGTCATTTTGCTTCCTGAGCTCTGGTGGAGTCCCTGGGTACCTTGAGAGGTAGGATTTTCTGCACTGGGTGGATGGCAACGCCGCCGTTATGTGGATGGCTTGTAGATAAGGGGAGAATAAAATGTTGGTGAAGTTTGAAATGAGGGTGGGGCTCTGGTCAGATGGGCAGGATACTTGTGTAGGTATGATTTGTTGTGAAGGAAATTTCAGTTCTAATGAAGTCGTTTTGCTTCCTGAGCGCCTAGCTCTGGTGGAGTCACTGAGCACCTTGAGAGGTAGGATTTTCTGCACTGGGTGGATGCTGAGCATCGGGGTGATTAGAGGATTAATGGCAGAAAGCCATTAAGCACTGGCTGACTGGAAGGTCCCAAAGAGTGGTGCTCAATGGATGTACGTCCGGCTGGCGGCCGGTCACAAGTGGTGTGCCTCAGGGCATTTCTGTTTAACGTCTTTATTGATGATCTCGATAAGGACATAGGGTGTATCATCAGCAAGTTTGCAGATGACACCATGTTAAGCAGGAGTGTTGACTCCCAGGAGGATAGGGAAGCTTTGCAAGAGGATCTAGATAGATTGGATCACTGGGCCAATGCCAATGGAATGAGTTTCAACAAGGGCAAGTGCCAGGTCCTGCACTTGGGCCACACCAACCCCCTGCAGCGCTACAGGCTGGGGGAAGTGTGGCTGGAGCTGCCTGGAGGAAAGAGACCTGGGGGTTCGAGTTGACAAACGGCTGAAGATGAGCCGGCCGTGTGCCCAGGGGGGCAAGAAAGCCAATGGCATCCTGGCTTGTATCAAAAATAGTGTGAAACGAGAGGGAACGGCTTCAAGCTCCAACAGGGGAGGTTTAGATTGAACATTAGGAAGGAATTTTTCACCCAAAGAGTGGTCGGGCATTGGAACAGGCTGCCCAGGGAGGGGGTGGAGTCACCGTCCCTGGATGTGTTTAAGGGCCGTTTAGATGGGGTACTGAGGGACATGGTGTAGGGGAGGACTTTGTAGAGTAGGGGAGATGGTTGGACTCGATGATCCCAAGGGTCTCTTCCAACCTCAATGATTCTATGATTCTATGATTCTATGAAAGATTCTGCTTAGAATGATAGCTCGGCTCTCACTGGGGTGGTGAAAGGTGGCAATATTTCTGATTAGGGTCTGTCTGACCTTTGTGATGTGATGTGATTGACCAAAGGATTTTGTGCTGTTTTCAAAAGCTATTTGAAGTATAGCTATATATTTAAATGAGCCGAATAGATCTTTACTGTAATATTATTTTGATTGATGCTCTGTTGTGGGTTTCTCTTCTGTCAGGAATGAAATATTTCCCAGAAGCTGACATCCATTACCTAGACAGAATCACGGGAGATGGGACGCTGCTGCCTGAGAAATTCAATGGCTTCTGTAACCTGGAGAGGTTTTACAATGACCCGAAATGCCCCGATGGACACTCTTACCGACTGCAGGCTTGGCTGTTTGGTAACCGGGTTTTACAGTATGCTGATGCATTGGAGCATCTGCTGACCACAGGTTAGATTTTCACAGCAAAATGAATTTCATTTATAAATGAAACTTCTGAGTACGAGTTGTGAATAGGCTGTTTTGAAGTGCTTTGCTGGTGTCTACGTTTTAAAGTGAAAAGCTCTTATATTGTTAAGCTTTTTATATTTCCTCCCTCTTATGAGTACAGATTGACAGCCCATCTAGAAAACTTCCTTGCACACTTTTGTTAGAACAGTATCTTATATAATTTCTAGCAAAGAAATACGTACCAGTTACTGATTTCATTAGTTTTAGTTTGGCAATCCCTGATGATTGTTTTCAAAAAGATGTTCTAAACTTACCAAGATAGCTGATAGCTCCGAGTTGTCCAGCCTTTTTAAAACTCTCCCTAGACTTAGGGAGAGTTAGTTGACAAGTGTCCTGACATGACATCCTGAACATCATCAGGACTTAGTTCCTGATGACATTCAGGCTTCTTGATGTCATTAAATACTGCTTTATGGTGGTATTGTTAAAATTTGAGCGTCTTCTGGTGGAAAAAAAATTTCCTGTACCAATACTGATTTACCTGTTGCTTGTGCTTTCGTCTTTTTTAGAAAATACTTCTTAGAAGATGTGAATGCTGGAAAGTTTCAGACATATTTAAATATATTCCTTAAATATAGTAGTACTTAGTGACTGTAGTGGCAGGCACAGGAGGAGAATACATGGGTGAGACAGGCATGTTCAGCTTACCTGGCCAGTACCTTTGTGCAAGCCAAAGCCTTGCTCTTTTGATTTATTTAATAAAACAATATAAATAGTTTTATTTATTATCTAAAAATTGACCCTAAGAGTCAGGAGTACAGTCTTTAATTTTAAACATTGCTGCCAACAGTCTCTTTAAGCCTTGCTGACTGGAACCTTACCTTCAATTGCAGGACAAGGTGTGGTGATGGAACGCTCTCCTTACAGCGACTTTGTGTTTCTGGATGCCATGTTTAAACAAGGCTATATTCACAAACGATGTAAGTTACTTGCATGCAAAAGGAAGTTATTTTGCTGTAGTCTGTCAGAAGTGTGGTAGTTGAGGTTTTTTTTTTTAAAGGAAACAAAAATGCCTGCTTGAAAAATGGGTCTTCTTTAAATATTCAAGTTGTTAATATGGTGCTTAGCACCTTGCTGTTCCGTGCATCAAGGACCAACTTCAAGCCAGGAGACTTCCAGTTTTTCTTTAAGGCTTTGGTTCTGTTTAGATGCTAAAGAACCTGTGTTCTGTGTATTGCTTGTTTCCTGTCAGCCAGAGACTCCAGTAGTTCCCTGGAAATGTGGGTGAGCATGCTGATGAAGACTAGAGGTCCTTCAGGCAGACTGTAATCTTACACTATTAGGTAAATAATGGGTTAGCAGGGTTTGGCCTACTTGCCAAAGAACATAAATGTTGCTCTTCCTTGCCCTTAAAGGGGCAAGGAAGAAGATTTAGGGAAACTACAGGCCAGTTAGCCTCAGCCTGATTTGCAGGAAGGTGATGGAGCAAATCTTCCTGGAAGCCACTTCCAAATACATGGAGGTTGTGAAGGTGGTGGAGTCATCGCATATTTATGAGAAGGAAGTCATGCTTAAACACCTGATAGTCAGCTCCTCATAGAAGGCTATCTCAGTGTATCAGGGAAGAGGAATGGATATTTTTTTATCTTGGCTTAAGCAAGGCTTCCAATGCTGTCTCTCATAACCTCCTCATGGACAAACTGATGAAGTATGGATTAGATATGTGGGTAGTAGATTGAAAAGTGGCTGAAGCGCTGGGCTCAAAGGGTTGTGATCAGCAGTGCAAAGTCCAGCTGGAGGCTGATAACTAGTGGCCTATACCAGGGGAGGATACTGGGGCTGAACTAGGTTTAAACTGGGACTGATACTATTTAATGTCTTTAACTACTTTGGTGACACGGGTGGTGGGATTGAATGCCTCCTCAGCAAGTTGGCTAACGACACCAAGGTGTGTGGAGCAGTCGACGGGCTGGAGGGAAGGGATGCCATCCAGAAGGACCTTGACAGGCCTGAGAGATGTGCCCTCATGAAATTCAACAAGGCTAAGTGCAAGGTCCTGGACAAGGGTTGGGGCAATCCCAGGCACAAATACAGGTTGGGCAGAGATGGATTGAGAGCAGCCCTGGGAAGGATTTAGGGGTATTGGCGGATGAGAAGCTCAACGTGAGCTGGCAATGCACACTCACAGCCCAGAGGGCCAACTGCATCCTGGGCTGCATCAGCAGTCTGGAAAAGAGGAGGCTGAGGGGAGACCTTATCGTGCTCTATAACTACCTGCAGAGAGGCAGGGGTCTCGTCTCCCAAGACAAGAGGAAATGGCCTCAAGTTGCACCAGGGGAGGTTCAGATTGGATATTAGGAAACATTTCTTCACCGAAAGGGTTATCAAGCATTGGAATGGGCTGCCCAGGGAAGTGGCTGAGGCACCATCCCTGGAGGTATTCAAAAGACGGGTTGACATGGTCCTCAGGAATATGGTTTAGTGATTTTTATTTCTTATTTCTTATTTTTTTGTCAGTTAGGTTGATGGTTGGACTAGATGATCTTTAAGGTCCCTTCCAACCTAGATGATTCTATGAACACAAGTGTGGCCAGCAGGTCGAGGGAGCTGATTCTGCCCCCCTGCTCTGGTGATACCCCACCTGGAGTACTGTGTCCAGCTCTGGAGTCCTCAACATAGGGAGGACATGGGCCTGTTGGAGCAGGTCCAGAGGAGGGCCACAAAGATGATGAGAGGGCTGGAGCACCTCTCCTATGAAGACAGGCTGAGAGAGTCAGGATTGTTCAGGCTGGAGAAGAGAAGGCTCCGGGGAGACTTCTCATAGCAGCCTTCCAGTACGTAAAGGGAGCCTACAGAAAAGGTAAGGAGGGAGTGTAGTAATAGGATTTGAGGGGTAATGGTTTTAAACTGAAAGAGAGGACATTTAGATTAGATATTAGGAAGAAATTCTTTCCTGTGAGGGTGGTGAGACACTGGAACAGGTTGCCCAGAGAAGCTGTGGCTGCCCCATCCCTGGAGGGGTTCAAGGCCAGGCTGGATGGGGCTTGGAGCAACCTGGTCTGGTGGGAGGTGTCCCTGCCCAGGGCAGGGGGGTTGGAACTCCATGATCTTTAAGGTCTTTCCCTTCCAACTCTAACCATTCTATGATTTAAAACATGGATGATAGGATAAATTTGCAACCTCAGCACATTTGCAGGTGACGCAAATTTGGGAAGGTGATGGTTGGATACACCATGCGTCTTTGGTGACATTGAGAAATAGTTGGATGGTAACCTCATGAAGGCTGGTTGGAGGACCCTGGGGGGGTGTGAACGGTGTCTTACTGCTTTGAGTTGGTGCAAATAAAGACTAGCAACCCACAACTTTTATTTAAAATAAAATTCCAACAACAAATAATGAATTTGTACTGAAATCCTTAAAAAGCAAACATTTTGATTAGAGGTACTGCTGCTTACTTTGATGCCAAGCACAGTGGGCCTTAAGTTTTTCATGAACTGTTTGAATTTGAAGGCCTGGCCCTGTGTTTCTACCTAAGCCAGTGTAGGTAAAAAAGCTTGCACTTGGGCTATGTTTAATGGAGCCTGCGTGGCTTCCTAATCACCAACTATTACCCCCAAATTGCTTTAAGTTATTGATGTGGTAGTAGAATCTAGTTGCGCAGACCTGATCAACCCCTCATAGATACTTTTTAAAATTTTTTTCTTTTCCTCTATGAGAAGGTGAGGTCCTCCAGTCCTGTCCTCTAAAGCGGAGTCTGGTTGTCATGTTTTGGGAGAGAAGATCTGCTGTTGCTCGTGTAGAGCACAGAGGTGTTAACAGTAGTGCAGAGTATGCCTCCAGGACAGGTCAAGAGGAACACTTCTGAGTTTGTGACCTCTTAAAACATTTGTTTTACCTCAGTGTGATTTTGTGTACGTATCGGAGGACAAGGCCTGCCTTGTTTATCTGGACTTCAGCAAAGCCTTTGACACAGTCTCCCACAGTATCCTCCTGGAGAAACTGGCTGCCATGGCTTGGATGGGAATACCCTCTGCTGGGTTAAAAACTGGCTGGAGGGACGGACCCAGAGAGTGGTGGTGAATGGAGTTAAATCAAGCTGGCGTCCAGTCACGAGTGGTGTCCCACAGGGCTCACTGGGACCAATTCTCTTTAGCATCTTTATCAATGATCTGGACGAGGGGATCGAGTGCACCCTCAGTCAGTTCGCAGATGACACCAAGCTGGGTGGCAGTGTTGACCTGCTGGAGGGTAGAGAGGCTCTGTAGAGAGATCTCGACAGGCTGGATCGATGGGCCAAGACCAACGGGATGAGGTTCAACAAGGCCAAGTGCCAGGTCCTGCCCTTGGGTCCCACCAACCCCCTGCAGCACTACAGGCTGGGGGCAGAGTGGCTGGAGCTGCCTGGCAGAAAAGGACCTGGGGGTGTTGGTGGCCTGTGGGCTGAACAGGAGCCAGCAGTGTGCCCAGGTGGCCAAGAAGGCCA